AAGCATTAAAACTTTTGTAATTGCTAATTATTTATTAGATTCTTTGATTAGAAAACATTCGCAAATAAGAATCGTAACAAGTAACATTAGGATGAAAAGTATTCATAGGACGGAAGCTGATACTTCGCCTATTAGGTCGCAAGATAGCACAGTACTGGTGAAGAAATGGAATTCCAAGTACTACTGGTCCAATTGATCCTTGGCGTGTTCTGAAAGCCAATTCGCATTTTCTATCTCTATACTGAAAATAATTCATTACATTCATTGTACAATCTGAAATGATAGATTGAATGTGAAATAAATTCTGCGAAACAGCAAATTGAAATTATTTTTAATTTCCAGGAGTAGAAATTGCTAACTAACGTCGTGTTTGATAACAAAATTGCTTGGATCAACGACATAAGTGTTATTGGCTGTTCTCAAATAAAATGGATCAAAGGCTTGTTTGCAATCCACCCAGTACATATCTGAATTTGAGTTCGGATCCTTCTGCAAAGCCCAAGCTTTCATTAAATTACTTCAATTTGTTATGATAATACAGTATTCAAATTTTCTAGAAAATTTGACTTTTTACTGTTGTGTACTTCGGACAATTAAAAGTTAATCAATAATTAGCCTGAGATTGTATTACTTTTGCATCGTATTTGAGAATTAATTCTTGCATGATTAAGTCTGGGACAGCAATGTATGGCTTTATAGTGTGTATATAAGCGAAAGCTAATCTCCAGCGAAAAGAAAACGTCGTATTGCCAATAGAAATTGATGAATATGCAAAATCATAGCGATTTGTTGTAGAGACAAGCTTTTCAGTTACTTGCTTATCGCTTGTTGAACATAACTCGTCATCGCTGGCACCTAGCGTAAGCGTTGGAGTCATATAACTACTCTGCAAAATGCAACCTTTCATTTTATTGCCATTAATTACACATCATCTAATGATAGTTACAGCGAATTACGCAAACATCGTGCGTAAAAAAATACTGAAGTCTCCCCTGCATTGATATCACTACAGTCTTTTTTTGGAAGCATTGCGTAATAGAAATGTAATTAAGCTAGTTCATTACACATTCATCTGCCTGTAAGGAAAATCGTTTCAAATTCAACAAGAAAATGAACCGCAAAAAAGTTTACTTTACTCTCATTCCTTTAGATAAATCTGCTTTCTGAAAACAGATACAAGAATAAGCTGATTAATGAAAGATTACGCTCAGAATATTACCCTTGGTGGTAGAGCGATCGTAATAATTGGATCAGTTGATGGACTTCGTAATACTTTGTGAATTGGATTGTCATGCAGAAAATCATTGATATTTAAAGATGACAAACCAAGAACTCCATCTACTAGACGGTACCTTGTTGCATCAACCCATCTTAAGATAGAAGGCGTCCAAAAGACTGTATTTATGATTTTTAGTGGTTGACCACTGATTTGATCAATCTTAAATATCGAAAAATCGTGTTACGGTTATTCTTTTCTGAATCCACAAATTTTGAGTAATAAAATACCGTAGAAAGGGAAGCATACCGTAATGTCATCATCATATTCATACGCGAGTATTTGTCTTTCATAAGTGTAAAAGGAATATCTTCTATGAGGGATAACTGTTCGACATGTACGTGACAACAAATGTGAATATTCCGCTTTTCCATCGCAGAAATCGTGCCTAAATCGTTTCACTTATTTCAGTAATGCAGTCTTATGCTAAATTTATCGCATTTAAAGTAAGTATTCAGTCACTAATTTGTGCAAAAATTTGAAAATTAGTCTAACTGACGAACCCGCATTCCGATCCTGGAACCCACAGTAATGCTGTGACAGTATCAAGTAGAACATTGAAAGATTTTTCCGGAGTACCAATTTTTATTGGCAAATAATAACCATTGTGGCGCTAAGAAGTGGAAATTACTTTTATTATCAAAAAAATGATATATTGAAATAAAATTAATAAAAACTCAATAACTTACAGTAAACTCATCAAAGACGTATTTCAGTGACATACGATATTCACAATTCACCAATAAAAGAAAGCTGT